GTAAAAAGAGAGCCCTTATTTCCCTGACTGAAAGCGTGTCCATGGGTTTACACCTCACTGTAGTTTTATGATTGTCACTTTTCGCTAACTTTTCATAGACTGACGTAGTTGTGCTTACCTGCAGAAAAAGGGGACAGTATTGAAGAGGAGTTATGTCACTGTAGTAGCACTGTCACTGGAGGCTGATGAGAGTATTTTACAGATGTAGCTGGTGCAGTAATCAAGCAGGCCAAACATGAGGTACCTGAACATTCAATCCTTGATCCTTCGATCAGCTGCCTCTGCAGGGAAGGACCCCAGTGCTGTCGGGTCCGTGCTAGGTGTGAGCCTGGGTGTGGAGTCTAGACTGGACACCGCTGGTTACGTGTGAAGTGCTTGAAGGACAGGGACGTGCTGCAGGCGTGCATCCGTTACAGGGAGCTCTAAACTGAAAGCAAAATGGTAACATCAAGCTTGGTGTGTCCTATGCCCTCCCCAGAAATGACGTCTACTCAGCGTCCTCTCCTCATCCATCAGGGCTTGCTCTTTTAAGGACAATGCCACAAGGCAAGACGGGTCCCGCTTTAATGAGGAGGATGTGCATCAGGGTCCCGCAGCATTCCGTTTGCTCTGTGTGTTAAGAAGCAAGAGGTGAGAATGCTCAGCCCCGCTGTAAGCAGCTCGATGGGCACGTTCTGTCACTGCAGAAATGGATGGAGGGGGTGGAGTGCAGCCTCATGGTTTGGATAGGTGTGCGTGTAATGAAAGACAGAAACAGTACTGCGGCGTGCATTGCTTCAGTGTGTTACATCAGTCACTGTCACAATCTGCAGCGCAGTGGGAGCTGAGAAATGACTGCTGATGCTCAAACTGACTGCAGCATCCGTTGTAAACTATCTTTGTATTATCTTCTTAAGGACCCGAGAAATACCTAGAAAGTACAGTACATACGGGCTCATAACAGAGCCCCTTATGTCACAGGGCTTTTGTATTCCACCGTCGGCGTTTGAGGTATTCTGACTGGGTTTCTCCCAAGATTTAAAAAAACCCAAACCCAAACTGTTTTGTCCTGCAGCGGAGTCAGAGCAAGCTCTGAAAGTTCCTGTGCTGGCTGACTTACAAGTGTAAATCATACAGCAGAGAAATGAGCAAGTTACCCTGCGCAAAGAGAATTGGTACCGATAAGCTGAAATGGGGTAACGGCCCAGTTCTAGGTGACAGTGACCCTACACCACTATTCACTGGAAAGGTAACTTCATTCCTTGTTTTCCACCCTGAGTCATTTGCTATTTGAGAAAGGTTTGGATTTTGAAATGTGAAAGCCTGCATAGCTTTTACCAGGCACACAGCAGAATAATTTATATTTTGCTTTCCAAGCTGCTTAATTTTTAACTGTATTTTGAGCCTGGTTTATGTATTTTATATCAGTCTTCAAATCACTCCCACGAAAGCAAAGGATTGATGTAGCCAACTGTCTTAAGACAGGTTCACCTACCTCCCTTTTCATGCAGTCCCTGTGAAAGAGGCCTACACCTACTGCAGGAGAAAGGGTGGAATGTTTTTCTGGCTAAAGAAATAAGGATTTCCTGATGAAGTTATAGTGTGTTCCTAAAAACAGCTCTCTGGCTTTAAATCACCTCTACTCTTGTCCAGAACTCCTGCTGTCTGAAGGCAAAATTGGGTGTTACTAGCTTTTTTTTTTTTTAAACATCATTTAAGGTTATAGTATCTCACAAATTCTCTGGCCTACCACTTGAACAGGACCGAGCCATGGGTTACCTTTTGTGTTAAGCATGGAATGGCAGATTGCTGGTGTGTATGGAAAATAACGAATGAAGTTTGGTAGCGACATCAGTGTCCATCCCTGGGTTGCTCGTTATTCTGTAACAATGAAAACAGTGGTTGAAGGGTAATTATCAGTGCTGTGTATTTAAGGACAGCTTTCAGCCTGGGGTGGGGAGCAAGACCTTGGTGTGTCCAGCAGAAAGGGGTGCCATAGAATCCCAAACAGTTTGGGTTGGAAGGGACATTAAAGACCACCCAGTTCCAACCCCCCTGCCATGGGCAGGGACACCTTCCACTAGACCAGGTTGCTCCAAGCCGCATCCAGCCTGGCCTTGGACACTTCCAGGGATGGGGCATCCACAGCTTCTCTGGGCAACCTGTTCCAGTGCCTCCCCACCCTCTCCAGGAAGAACTTCTTCCTGATATCCAATCTAAACCTCCCCACTTTCAATTTAAACCCGTTCCCCCTTGTCCTGTCACTACAGGCCCTTGTAAAAAGTCCCCCCCATCTCCCTTGTAGCCCCTTCAGGCACTGGAAGGTGCTATAAGGTCTCCCCGGAGCCTTCCCTTCTCCAGGCTGAACAAGCCCAACTCTCTCAGTGGCACTTGCCCCACGTGTGCGAGGCTTCACTCTGCTCTGCTGTCCTCCTCAGGAACAGGTACATGTGTACACCTTTGCTTGTTATTTCACTTTTCAATATAAAGACAATTATGTTCAGATCTGCAGAATAGTGCCAACAAAATATTCTTCTATTCTAGCACAGCAGTTTTAGGCAATATAGCAAATTTACAGGAAAGGTTCACTTTTATAAGTAGCCAGTTATTTTGTTAGCCCACTGGCTATCTAGTCATGGTTGTCAGGGAATACTTTGTATGTTTTTGAGTGACTCAGTATTAATTTAATGTATTTTTAGATGCTTTATGTAGAACCACCAGAGTGTCATTATGATTAAGGACTACACAACCTACTGTATTTTAGTAGAGAAATCACACTTTAGGTGCGTTTGAAAATTCTTGAATTGTCATTAACACTACTGTAAGTCAGCACCACATATAAACACTTTCTGTAGCAACATATAAAATTAATTTACATGTTTTGCACTTGATGATAAACATCAAAATTCCCAGTATTTTCAGCCATCTGGTCCAGTAATTTTTCTGTTTTACAACAGTATAAAATAGCATTAGATGCAGCTTCAGGAAGCTGTAATAGTCTGAAATCCAAGGATCTTAGACTGATCATGCCAAAAATTAATCCCAAAACCTGTTTGTAAAATTAGCTATTTATACTAACTCTACATTTTCATTCAAAATGAAATATGCATCATCTTAAATTAGGAAGCAAGCTGATGAACAGCTTTTTGCCAAACTGTGACTGCTGTTGACAGTGATGCTCAGCTGTAGCTCTCAGCAGCGCCTGGAGTGGCTAACGGTGGAGGATGCTGGCACAATCTGGAACTGAGAGGCTGGTCTACGACAGCACGTCCGTCCTTGGGAAGACAGATTATCAACTCTGTTCTTAATTGTTTTACAAACTTTGACATGAAAAATAAGTACACCGCATCAAAACGACTTTGTTCTTTACCTTTTGACTTGTGAGATTAAACAAGGTTTCATTATTGTGTAGTAATAAAAAAATTGATGAAAATTTATAAAACATCAAATGGGGAGGGGAAAATAATGTGTTTGATATCATGAATTTGACCTGTAAAGACAATCAGAAAGGCCATTCAGAGTAGGGAATACAGCTTCTGCCAATTCGGTTTATTTTTGCAAGGCAGAAGAAACAACAAGTGGAAATTTCTGGTTTGGAGGTGGGGATATCAGAATTCCACTTAATTTGAAATTGTTCAAAATTTCTGCAGGAATCCCCTAGCTCCTGAGGAGCGTGGCAGGAAAGCAGTCCTGCCATATGGATCATCCTTAAAGGTTGGTCAAAATCAGATAGGATCGGCAAACTCAATTATCTTTTGTTATATTATCATATTCTGAAGAAAGGGAAGAATGGTTGGACTTCCTCAAGTATTTGTTTGGTTAATCAATTAGACAATAATTCAGCCAAGGATTTCAAAGTACATTATAAAGCCTTCAATATGGAGTAAGTTTGGCCTGTTTACCTGCTGCTGCTTGTCATTTAGCTTTTCTTCTACTCCTGACCAAGCCTGGGTGACACTTGCATGCGAGCTACCCAGAAATTTTCCATACAGCACACTGTTGTCTCCTGCAACAGAGCAAATGTATGTATTTCTTTACAAGTCTACAATGGAGTGATTTTTTACCCCAATATAGTCCAAAATAAAACCAGTCTATTAAAAAAAAAAAAAAAGAAACAAACAGCCCTAAGTCGTTAAACATACAGAGGGAATCGGAATAAGCCTGCCTTGTTTGCACCCCGTGCTAGGTGAATGATAATTCATGTCATTACCAAGCCTGACTCCTCTTGCTGGTTGTCAAACCTTTCCTTTTTTGGCTGCTCTCATCTTTCTTCCCTTCTTATAACTCACCACATCTTCTGCTTATTAGGTTTCTTTGATGTACCTGGCTCTATTCCATCTGTGATAACTCCCCAGTGTCTTTGGGAAAAGATTACAAATATCTTACATTTTTCATTTGTTTGTCTTGACTTTTTTTTTTTTTCTTTTTTTTAAGGTCACTGGCCTTGGCTGAACAGGTTTACAGTCTCCTTAATTGACAAATACAGCTCCACACTTCTTGGCTTTCAACTCACATTTCGGTAGCATCATTCTTTGGGCAGTTATCTATTACTGAAAGTTTTTTCTAATTTTATCAGCTTTCAAAAGGCTGTTTCCCTCAGCTTCCCCTCTGGTGTTTTCTAGCCAAAGGAGTAGCGAGGTGACAAACTCACCTTGCGATAAGCGCAAAGACACTGGAGTCCAGTAACCTGAAACAGAGCTAGTGAAGCATGACAATGTTTTTGCTAATTTTTTATTATTTATTACTACTAGAATTATTTATTGCTCTTTACTAATTACCTGTTTGAAATGCAAGTGCCGGTAAATGGTTTCCTTCTATTTTTATGCTTTATGAACCATTATAGAATGAAGGTAGACATGTCACCTGTAGCTGTGCTTGCCATAGAACTTCCTCCGCAGCCCCAGCAGCTGCGTAAGCCCCAGCCTATAACCTCAGCGGTGTCTGGTGCTGTAAACACACTTCATACGCAAACTGCAACTGCTAACTAAGTATGTGCTCTCCTTTTTCTTTTTTTCTACCAGGCATTAAAGCGGTATTTTCTGGACATTACCACAGGAATGCTGGAGGGTCCTACAGAGGACTGGAAATGGTGGTTTCATCAGCAATAGGATGCCAGCTGGGAGAAGATCCGCATGGGCTGCGAGTGGTTGTTGTCACAGAGGAGAAGATTGTTCATAGATACTACAGCTTAAATGAGCTGAGCAGCCAAGGCATCGAGAAGGAGCTGCTGGATATGCTTGCTACGCAGAACTAGGCTATGTCGAATGATGACATCTTGTTCTGTGTGAGACAAACAGAAACAGTTTCAGAAAGTTTCCCCAAGCTGAAGGTGAGCAGCTCTCACTTTGGTGTTAACCTCAATAACATGAGGGTTGTTGACAGGCTTCTCCTCTTGAAAAGGAGGCCTATGAGGAATGTGGAAGAACAGCAGAACTAATGTGGAATGTATCACTGAAAAGAACTGTTCTGAGAATGTTTACCTTGCTTCTAGTTTAAGACTTTCTCACTAGGGAGAAAGCGTATCAAAGAGAGCGAGCTGTAGCTTTAACTCAAGCCTAATTTAGTTCTGTATTTGAGAGGGTATTTTAAAACCAATAAATTTTGTCATTTCTGTTACACTCTGGACGATATAAATGTGTCATTTATATATTTATATTAAATGTTTTTACTCTGTAAAAACATATCTCAGAAACTCCGGCTCCCACTGACTTTTAGCAAGGTTTGGATCAGACTTGGTCGTGTTTTCTCCCATTTCCCATACTTCATTTTCTTAGCTCTTCAGAGCCAGCAGCAGGAGAGCAAACACGTTCTGCTTTGCCGTCACAGCTTGGCTTTCCATTGTATCCCACTCTGTGTAATGAAAGTCTGTAAATGAAGCCATTACAGGTGCCACTGACAGAAACTGGACGTGGAAGAGCTATTTGGCTTTTGAAATTTAACTGCCATCAATGAGCGCTTCAGCTTCATAAGCTGGACTGATTGCCTGGGGAGAATGTTCTGTACAGAATACTGTCAGCAGAAGTCACTGTGTTGATTACTAGACAAGGGGAGAGCTTTGATTTCCAAATGCAGTTTAAGAGTGCCTTACTGCAGTATTACACAATACTGAATGTTGAAAACCCTAAATAGTATATTTTCTTCACTGGAATAAGTTTAAAAATACATGGTATGGAAAGAAATTTATGTGTTGCAATCCACCTGTTTATTTTTGGCAATAGTGTCTGATTTGTTTACTGTTAAATACAAGAAAAAAAGTCTTCGTGTAGTTAACACATACCTGTTTTTAAGTATTTAGTTGAACATCATTATAGTCCATGCCAGAGACCATCTAGAAATAGACACAGTGCAGCTTTAGCACCTGAAGAGGGAAGAACAAAACCAATACTGGCTGAAAAAGTCACGCATTCTGTCTGGTTTTATGTGTCCTGGCATACAGCATTGTTCCCTAGAGACTATTACAGGTATTTAAATAGGGTGAGAGATGGAATGCTGCGCTGAAGAGTCGGGGTCGTTACGTTTTAGTCACAACGGTTTATCTAGGGGGCTCCTCTAAGATGTGTGGGCCTCCCGAGGCTCTGACATCACCTCTGCAGCATTGCCCGGCACTAGTGAAACTGAGAGCCGTACCGGCAGGTGGACGGCGCCAGATGTGCACTGCTGTCCCACGGCAGCAACCTAAGCACAGGTAACGTTTGATTCAGAAAGGAAGTTATTTTGCTCTTACTCTCCACCTGGTTCCGCATAGTTGGGCGTTTTCAGAGTCTCATTTTCAAGGGAACAGCTGGGAAATGAGAACTAAGGCTAGATTCCTTTGAGACAGGTAGGTACCCAAGTGGCAGTTTCATTGGAAGTTAAGCACCCACTAGTTCAGATACTGGTTTCAAAAATCTCTGTACTTCGATACCTTTTAAGCTACTTACTACTTTCAAAATGTGGTCTTACATTGCAGGGAGCTCTTTAGTAATCACAGCTAATTAACGATTTCAGGAAGGAGATGATGCTAGTTTCTGTTTTGCAGAGAGAAGAATAGACCGGGACTTAAATCTTCCAAGTTAGATTAAATTGTAAGGCTGAAGAAGTTCAGCAGAGGGAATGTCCAGGAGGAACAAGTTGTGTGCAGAGGTATCACTTGGTAGCCTGGATGACGTTCTGATGAACGTGATGGTAGCAGAAATGAAGGAACAGCCTCTCTGGTACTTGGTCCTTTTCAAGCCCAGGCCCTGCTCCAGTGAGTTGAGAATTCCGGCACTAGCCCCAGATCGGAAGGGTTGCCCAGCATTTCAGCAGTTGTCCATTTTGCCAGTGTCTGAGTTTGAGAAGCGTTGTTTAAGCACACATATCAAACCTTTTGGCATCCCAAAATGTAAGATAGTGGGAAAATAGATAAAATCTATTTCCCTTGCAATGCCCGTCACTTCAAAACATTTCCTATTCTGAATGACAACTCCCCTCGCTTCTCATCCGGATGAAGTGGATGCAATCCTGAGTAACAGATGGAAACACATCCTCATGCACAGAGTACAACCATGGGAAGGATTTTTAGCCATAGTGTGCTGCTGGACATTACTGCATGAAGCAAAGAGTTAATAAGAATGTGCTTTTATACCAGCATAAAAGACAAATTTTGTTTGATCACTCTTCTTGCCATAATTAGCTGATTTAGAATTAATACTGATGCCTTAACTAATTTGAAATGGCAGAGGTCCTTGTGGTCACAGTGCCTCATTTTGTTTATGTAAAGAAAAATAATTCATAGTATGTCAAATTATGAAACAATCCACCCATGGAGACAGTAATTATCCTTTAAGCAAACATCTTTTGATGTTGAGGACATTAGTTTTGTACCTCCAGCAGGGCTGGTAATTGTAACGCTGTCAGCATATGACTGGCTTTAAAGCAAGATGTCACTAAAAGTTCAAACTGCTGATGAAATAAGAGCAAGCGAGGCCTCATTCATCTCTGTAGACTCAAAGGGTTGGGCAGAGAGGGGGAGGGAAAAAAAAAAAATCAAGTGACCACAATTCATTTTGGTTTCCTGGGGGCAGCTAAAACGCTGAGATAACCCCTGGTGACTCTTATTAACTGTGGAAAATTCCTATTAGAACACCAGAGCAACGTGTGAAAGTGAGCAAATGCTGCGCAATTAAGTATAATCTGAGGTGGAGCCCTAGGAACAGGGGGCAAATTACTGACAAAATGTCTCAGAGATCAATCTTGGGATGCCAGTTGCAGTGTGAGCGACAAATTTAAGAACACACTTCCGTATCTTTCAAAAAAAGGTCATTAAGCCTTGCCTACACTGCTTGTGTACCGCCTGCCTTGACTTCATTTGGTGCCAGCACCTAATCTTGCAAGTTTTAATAGAGGCGATATTTCGATAGGCCTACAGCTTTCAACTCCGGGGGTTACAGACAGGAAGGGAATGCTCGATGGCTCGTTGACACTGAGGCACATTGTACACTGGGAATGGGCAGTGGCAGAGGTGAGTCCTCTTTCTCCCGCCAACCCTGTTTGCAGCCCGTCTGTCCTAGGTTCACTCCGCCTCAACGACTGCTTTCTTACCTCCGCACAGCAGCTTGTTTCCTAGGCTCTCTTTTTCCAGGCGTTATCCTCAAGTAGCCATTTTCATTCTGCTAAGAGAACAATTAGAGACACATCCAACATAAGCAAAGATACAAAGCATTAAAAACTAAACATTCCGCTGCTTAAAAATGCACCGTTCCTCGGTCTCTGTGTGTCATCGTACAAGCCACTGAAGGCTCCCACGTCATTGTTTCAGCTAATGGTAATGGGGTGGATAAGCTGCTTTCATTAATGCTCTCGTTAAGCCTTCTTTGCAACTACCATTTGAACACAGCCATATCCCTTAAAGCAAGAGCAACTTTCACACGTACATTACTTACCAGGAAGCTTCCCTGCCGTCACCTGTTACTTCATGACAAACAGTCACCACATCGACTTGCCGGTTTGCTTTAGGGAATTTCCACTTCAGTAACATTCTGATTACTAGGAACTCTTTTTCCTCCTACTCTGTGCTGACCTACGCACTGTCCCATCACTGGCAGGTAGGGAAATGCAAAGCCAGGTTCAGGCTGCCGGCGTGCGGCTCTGAGCTGCCGCCAACCACTACCAGAACATCATCCAGCAGAGGGGAAGCACCAGACTGCTCCTACAAACAGAGCTAATGCCAGACAGCCTTTCATGGCCAGGCATGAGATGGGAATGTGCTGCTACCGCCCCAATCACCCAGAAGCCAAGCAGCCACGCGGCAGCTTCCACGTCCACCGCATGTACGTTTATTCCAGTGGCAGCTCCAAAGGACAGTGGGTACTGTCGGCTTGACACAACGAACGGCAGACCTACACCAAGGTCTTGAACAATGAGATTTGAAGGGCTTCTTTTGAAAAAGTTTTCTAGATTGTCTGTGTTAGCAACCAAAATTATTTCTTCCCAGTAGGGAGCAAGGGCTCATTAGCTGTTTGCACTCATTCTCATCCCACCCTCCCCAACATAAAGGGGTTTTATTGTTTCTTAGTCACTCACCTGAAGATGAGGCAATTCAAAGCTGATAAATGCAGGCACTGTGCTCTTGGACACATTCTCATTGGAAGAGTCTTTGTAAAAAAACAGAAAAATAAACCACATGATGATAGAGAAAAAGCATTCGACCAGAAGAGTAAATTAGCCTCCAGTCTAAATGAAATCCATCTGTGATGCAGCAGATGATACCGAAGGGGGAAAAAACCCCAAACATCACAACCCAAAAAACCCCACCACAGAGCTAAGGCAACAGACACTTTCCAAGCAATAAGAAAAGCACACCCAGCACTTCCCTTAAGAACACACACAAGAACACCCACAACCCCCACGACTCGGAGAGCCATTACTTTCTTTTAATTGACATTTTCATTTGTTTCTCTAGAAGTAATTTCCTCCATTAGCACTTTGTCAAATGCAGGTAGTTTAGTACATTTCTACTAATAAACAGCTTTTTTTTTCCCTCTAGGAGACCCATTAAAGCCTCATCCTATTTTAAATTACAGTGTTCTTATGTCACTTTTGGGTAGCCAGCAATTGAAACATCCATCTTCTAAATATATCCCTATCTTCCTTGAACACTTTTTAGAATGGTATCGTCTTGATAAAAAATACAGTGTGTTTTAAATGAACTGGTAATGGCATTATCTGTGTATATTCAAATCTTCTCTCCCATTTCCCTATGAAAAAGGTACCTCACACTGCTCTAATGAAGCGAAATCAGCAGTCCTGCGTTTGGCAACTGCCTGCCCAGACATCTGAATAACCACACCAGCCAGGAAACCAGTGAC